GTCTTGAGGTGGAAACTCCTAGCTTTAGTTTGTCAACTCTGCAGTTGACAGGAAGACGGGAAGGAATCAGAGGGACTGAAGTGCACGGAGGGCTGGGGCTGGGGAGGTAGCCCTCTAGACAGAAGCTGGAGCTGGAGGTACGCGGTGGCTTACTGCCAGAGACACCATGCTCAGTCCAAGAAGGACTTTGAAGGAAATGCCCCCCCTCTCCCTCCCCCTGCCTTCTGATCTCCTGCTGGTCCCTCCCATTGGCTACACGCCCAGCTGGAAACCAGTAGGCGAGGGAGCCCAGGGGTGATGTGGACACCAGGTTGGCAGAGAAGGGTAGAGAACGAACTGGTGTAGGGTGGGCAAAGTGATACAGGGGTGTTGTGTTATGCATATGCCCAAGACATGTGGTTATTTTTCTAATTATTTTTCAATATTCTAGAATGTCCCATTAATAGATATGCCACAATTAAAAAAATGAAATAAAATAAAATAAAATAAAAACCCTCTTGGGGTGCCTGGGTGGCTCAGTTGTTTAAGCGTCCGACTTCAGCTCAGGTCGTGACCTCACAGTTCACGGGTTCAAGCCCTGCATCGGGCTCGGTGCTGACAGCTCCGAGCCTGGAACCTGCTTCGGGTTCTGCGCCTCCCTCTCTTTCTGCCCCTCCCCTGCTCATGCTGTGTCTGTCTCTCGCTCTCAAAAATAAATAATAAACATTAAAAAAAAATAAAAACCCTCTTGTTCATCTTTGTAGAAAACTTTTTTATTGAAGTACAGTATGCGTATATAACATATATACATCAGAAGTGCGCCGTCTGACTTTTCACAAGTGAGCTTATCCACGTAACCAGAGCAAGACACAGAACATTCCCAGCACTCTGGAAGCCCCCTGACTCCCCACCAGCTATGTCTGCTCCAGCTCCCTTCCACCAGATACCCTGTATTCTGACCTCTCATTGCACTGGGCCTTCTCCCCAGTTTTGTACTTTACATAAAGGACACCCTTCAGTATGAGCTCCTAGGGGTCTGGCTTCTTTCACTCCACATGGCTATTTTGTTGCTCTTTGCTTACTTCCACTTGCCCCTGTAGAGTTGTTACAAGGGGCATCTTTGTGTCTATGGATTTTCTTTCTTCTTTCTTTCTTTCTTTTTTTTTTTTTTTCTTTTTTTTTTTTTTTTTTTTTTTTTTTTTTTGCCTTTGGACTTATTTTTTTTAGGAAGAATCCCAGACTTAGGTTTCCTGGGTTGAAGGGTGTAAACACTTTTAGAGATCTTGATGTGTGAGGCCACATTACTTTCTGAAGGATGTGGAACCCTCATCATTCCTTATGTTAGAAGTCTGCCATTGAGATTATAATTGCTGATTTGGGCTTTTGTGGAAGGAAAGCCAAGAGGGAATCAGTTTTGGATCCTGCCGAGGAGGAATCTGAAACCGGCGATGTGAACGAGGGACACTCAAACTATACGTACTTTTTCCAAAATTATTTGTTATTTCATTAAACAAAAAACTATTGGGGCGCCTGGGTAGGTCAGTTGGATGAGCGGCTGACTTTGGCTCAGGTCACGATCTCACGGTTGGTGAGTTCAAGCCCCTTACTGGGCTTGCTGCTGTCAGCTTAGGACCCACTTCGGATCCTCTGTCCCCTTTCTCTCTGTTCCTTCCCTGCTTCGGGAATGCTCTTTCTCTTTCAAGAATAAATAAACATTAAAAAAAAAAAAACTATTATGGCAAAAGTCAGAATCTCATCAGACTGTCTGACCCTTCTCTTGTGGATTGCTACTATTTTTATTTTGAATCCATACACAGAGCGAAATATTTCACAATCTTTTTTAGGCTTTAAAGTTCTCAATTTGGCCCTAGCAGTTTCAAGAATTTAAGGCTCAGAGAGGTCAACTGACTTTTCTAAGGGCACACAGCAAATCAGTGGCAGAGCCAGGAGTAAAACCTGAGTATCTTACCAACTTGTCCAGTGTTCTCTCCACTATAACGCTGTGCCCTCCCTGCCTGTGCCCCCTTTTCTGAGAGTTACTTTCACAGTTCCTACAAAGGGGCTATTGTATCCCCTGATCATGGTCCCCTGATACCATATGATTGGGCCGACAGTGAATATCAAATTTAGACCGGGCCAATTGGATTCTCTTTCCTAAGAAATTGAGATTAGAACATTGATTTTTTTTTTTTTTTAAACTGGGCTCCAAAGTGAGAAAACTCAAAAGAAGCAAGCTGGGAAGGAAGGGAAAGAAAAAAAAAAGTCTTTAAAAATAAGGGATCAGGGGGGCCTGGCTGGCTCAGTTAGTAGAGCACGGAACTCTTGATCTCAGGGTTGTGAGTTCAAGTGTCACGTTGAGGGTAGAGTTCACTTTAAAAAATAAAAATAAAAACAAAAACAAAAACAAAAACAAGAGGTTAGGTTGAGAGACCAGGTAGTTTGAGAGACAGAGCTGGAGAGAAGAGCTGACTTGGTCCCCGATAACTTTCCAAGTTCTTAGTTCTTATTCCTCACAGGGCTGTGCCTCCAGTTCACCCATGATAACCCTAGTAGTCATATAAGTTTAGCCTGCTTTTGGCTGCAATAAGAAAATTTATTAATTCTTATAATTGGAAGTGCAGCGTGGGTTTCAGGCATGGTATGATCAAAGTTCCAGGTATATTGCTCTGCAACTCTTTCTTGGCTCTTCCCTCCATCACGTGTTGGCTTTGTTCTCTCATTGGCTTCTCTCATGGTTACAAGAGGGCTGCTATCAACAACAGGGGCCACATGCTTCCTTGTTCCCATCCATGGAGCTAGAGAAAGCATTTCCCCTCCAACCTTGGACTATAAATACTTCCTTTCTGTCTGTTTAAGCCACTGTAAGTTATGTATCTATTCTCTAAAGAGTTGCAGTCTCCAGGAGAATGCTATGCACTGATTGGCTTGCACTTATGTTCCTGATCCAATCATTCGTGCGGAGGATGGAAAGGTTGTGATTGGCTAAAGGATAATCAAAATCTACCCTGGAGATGCCAGTGAAAATCAGCTTCTGGTCACCTGGGCTGCATGGGAGAGGGCTGGTTACTTGAACAAATCAGAATCAGCTAGGAAGGAAGAAGGGAGAACAGATGCTGGAGAAGGAAAAAAAGAGAAAAATCATTTTGAATCATTTCAAGTGGATTTCTGATCCTTGCAGCCAAAGAATCATTTGGACAACCAGCTTCCCGGTCTGTAGCCAAATGCCTTTGCCCAGCCCCTCTGCAGCTTGATTCTAATTTCCTCCTCCATTCTGTAGACTCCGTTATCGCCAACATTTCTCACCACTGGCTCCTTGCTTTGGCAAGCTGGCATCTCAGTCTGCTCCAAGCCCTGCTGATGGAGCTGAAGATCTCTTTAGCAGAATCAATTCTGGCGTGTTCTAATTTAAAAAGCCTTGCACTTCTCTGCATGGGGGCTGCTGAGATCTGTGCCCATAAAGGCAGGGAGAGTAAATTCTTCTGAGGGAGAGCCTATTTTTAACAAGTCCTGAACCTAATTGAACTTAATCATTTTTCAGTCGTTGACACTTGAAATGTGTGAGTCACTAGGCTATGCATGGAGCAGAGGGCTACGGCGGCCCTTTAAATATCAGAGACATGCTGAATACCAGCTTCCAGAATTGCTGCTAGGGTCTGGGGCTGTGGTTTTGGTCAGGGTTATGGTAAGACATGGGGCCCTAGAAACAGACAGCCCTGGATTCGAATCCTGGCTTCCCCACCTACTGCAACAGTCACTGTGTTTCTTCAAGCCTCAGTTTCCTCATCTGTAAAATGAGGAGGCTAACACTTGTACCAAAACACTTCACGTGAATAATCAAGGCCTGACATGAGGCTGCTCAAAATCCTTATTCTACTTGATATGAGTATTCATACGTCTCCTTGCAGAAATGTTAATGTGTTTGCTCATGACATGTTGCCCAAACCCCATACATAATATGCCATACCCTAACTTTCCTCATGGTTACAACATGGCTGCCAGTGAACAGGGACCACGTGCTCCCTCCTGCACCATACTGCCTTTCTGAAACCAAAAATGTAGTTAAGTTCTAAAACACATTCTGCCCCCAGGGTTTAGGGATAAGAAAAATGGAGCTCTTAGTATGGCTGAGCTACAGGGGCGCCTGGGTGGCGCAGTCGGTTAAGGGTCCGACTTCAGCCAGGTCACGATCTCGCGGTCCGTGAGTTCGAGCCCCGCGTCAGGCTCTGGGCTGATGGCTCGGAGCCTGGAGCCTGTTTCCGATTCTGTGTCTCCCTCTCTCTCTGCCCCTCCCCCGTTCATGCTCTGTCTCTCTCTGTCCCAAAAATAAAAATAAAAACGTTGAAAAAAAAAAAAAAGTATGGCTGAGCTACAATAATTCAAAAGGGAATCAAAATTACCCTGGAGAACCCGTGCTTGCAATCATTTGCTTTGAGCAACCTGGAGCCCCAGGACAAGTGGCCGGCTTGTGTTAAGGGCCATTTGTATGAAAAATGTTTAAGCTGCCAAACTCCATTCGGCCAGTGAAAAATGCTCACCCCAGATGACCTGGGTCAAACTGAGGGTTTCCTGTGTCAAGCTCATAGAGGGTGGATGTGGGTGAGCCCGAAGAAAAATGATGGGCAAATTTCCCCCCCGCACTGGTGACGTTCTTTTCTTCCTCTTAAATCCTGGCTTTCTTGTTTTGCAGAGCAGGAGGGAGTGGATCCCTCTTAGTGCGTGTGGAGACTGTACCCCGCGAGGCTGCTGTTAAGTGTGCGGGAGAGGGAGACGAGCAGGAACCGGAGATGCCAGCCACGAGGGCGAGGGCGGAGGGCCTTAGGCCGGTGTGAGCGCCGGTTACTCAGTATGGTGGGGGTGCGGCTAGTCTGGGAAGGGGTCGCTGAGAGGGGTGTCACGTCCCCAACCCCCACCTTCCCTCCATTCCCTTTGGTCCTCTCCCGAGGGCCCTCGTGCTTTCCCAGCGCCTTCCAGGGGAGAACGCCCGTCTGTGTGGGTCACAAAGGCGCGGGTTCTAGGGGTCCGAGAACTCCCAGACGCGGGTCTGGGGGGTGGGTGCAGCGGGGCCGCACACATCTCGGTGCCTTTGGACCCCGCAGCGGCTCCAGCGGCGGGACACGCAGCTGGGGCCATCGGCCCCTGGTAAGTTTCGCGGCTCTGGCCATGCTTGCTGCTCCACAGCTCCTCCTGCTGGGCAAAGGCAAAGATGTGGTGGCTGCCCCCGCCCTTTCCTACCACCTGCCCTAATCTGGAAAATGTCAATTAAATATAAATAAATTACAATGTGTAAAATAACGTCAAGAAAATCCAACAAACTTCCATTTCCCCCTATAAAGATCTCAATTAAAAAAATTTTGTGTGTGTGTTTCTGCACCCCTGCTTGGCAAGCATATGTTTAACTTACTACGGAGTTAGGCAGCCTTCACTCAGTTTTCACAGACTGGGGCCCAGCTTCTGTCTCAGACCCGGCGTTTTATAACCCATGTAGTCACGGTCTGGCTTTTCCTTTAATAGCAGGTTGTTAAAATTCAGCAGCAAAGGAGGATCCCGCCTCCCTTACCCCAGCGAATTACATATTAGTTGGTAAAGATGATCTCGGCCCAGGGGGGAGGGGGGGGGACTTCATTCATTCAAACACTATTTGCTAAGAGCTTCTCATGTGCCCGAGACTATAGATATTGTAGTGGATGAAATGAGGCCCAGAGAACCAGACAGCATGTGCCTGGTGATCCCTGACCTGGGCCTCTGGACTTCTCAGCATTTTGCATTGCATACTACTGTCCTCAGAAGGGGGCAAGCTGCAGATTCCTCTCAGGAACTGCCAACTCGAACCCCTGCTAGCTCCAGGCAGTTTCAGGGACTGTGGGAATTGGAGGGAGGAGTTAGGCACTAGGGAGAAGTGGAGTCTGCAGTCAGGAGAGTAAGGACATTACCCACATTCACATTTTAAAACACTGATTGCTAACCAGGACCGAAGGTAGGTTGAGTCTGCCTGAGGGCTTCAAGTTTGAGACCCTTGAATAAGAGGGTGGTGGGTCAGGGGCCAGCATGCCTGGTGGTGGGGCTTCTCAAGGCCCAGCTGTGAGAATGGGGGTAAATCTCTCCGCAGGGAACGGATAGTCCCAGACCAGTGGGCACAGAGAGTAAGAGGCCTGTGTTGGTGTCTGGAAGCTGGAAAGAGACCAGGGGAGACCGACTCTGTGTGTCAGCAAACAGGTAGGAAGCTGATGGTACCTCCAGCTCCTGGGGGAAAACACAACACAACCAAATACCCTCAAGGGCAGGATAACCCGATACTTGACAATCCTGATTCACAAGCAAGGGACATTCATCAAATGCCTGTTACGTGCTAGGCACCGCACTAAGAGCTTTATACACATTAGTTTATGCTAAGAGGTGGGTGTGGGCATCCCCATTCTACAGATGAGGAGACTGAGGCTCAGAGAGGTGGAATCACACTGTCAGTGAATGTCAGGTTTACTTGAGTCATGCTTTTAGAAAGGTACATCGCAGATCCTCGTAGATCCAAAAGAACCCTTGAACATAGAAGAGCTCCTGGATAATATGAAATTAGAGCTACATAAAACTCCAGAGTAGAAAGAGGTCCCAAAGTGAGTATCCTTTGGCTAAACGTCATCAGTCAGGTAAATCCTGCTACAGCCTTTACCCCAACTTGAGCTCTCTTACACACTGGTCTTATTCCATCCTTCTTTTAAGGAACATCCTGGCTTTTCCAGACTTCCTTGCCAGTCACTTCCCACTGGATGCTGCGCCCTGGACTGGATGACACAGCATTCTCTGAATACTCCTTTTATCCACTTGCCTCTCGGCCTTTGCTCAGGCAGTTCTCTCTACCCAGAATTCCTTCCTCACTTTTCTTCTCTGCTTGGTGAGCTCCTATTCATCCTTCAAAACCCAAATTAAACCTCACCTCCTTTGTGGAGTCTTTTGCACTGTTTTACCCTGGACAGAATTCATAGCGCCTTGAAGGCTGACTTGCCACTGGATTCCCTAAATGTGTAGCACACGGTAGGGGCTTAGTCCGTGTGCTAAATGGATCTAAGCACTTCAGGCATGAGAACACATTTTGGTTACAAGTGATTGAAAACTCCTCTCAGATTGTTTTAGGAGAATATGTTAGTTCATGTAATTGGACCTGACCCAGAGGTATCTTCAGGCTTGCCTAATTCCTGGGGTTTGGATGACGTCTCCAAGTTTCAATCTCCTCTCAATTTTGTCCTCTCCACGTTAGCTTTATTCTCAGGCTCCCTGCAGGGGCAAGAAGGCCGCCAGCCCCTCCTACCTCATTTACACAGGTTCCAAAGCAGCAGGAAACCAAGTTGCTCTCTTCCTGAATGTTCAATCTTAAACCCCACTATTCACTCTGCTGGGACCAGCCAAGGTCGGTCCCATCCCTGAAATGATCACTCAGGCCAGGAAGGGTGGGATTATGCAGATTGACCAGGGATCCGGCACTCTGATTGGCCCTTCCAGAGTCATATGGCCCAATCTGATGGGGTGGGGTGGGGTCAGCCCCAGGGAGCAAAAATCGACCAGGAGCGAAGGAATGGGCAGCTTCCCCAAGCAAACCAGGGTATTGTTACCAGGAGACAGAGGAATGCCACACACTCCTCAAGCCCTCGTAAACAGTTATTACACTGGACCTTCACGTATGAAACAATCCATAGCATATCATATCATACCAGCCCGTTTACTGAGCACTTATTATGTGCCAGGCTCACTGCTAGGTGCCTTACCGCTTACCAACCTGTGAGATGCCTTCTAGAACTTCTCCTGTTTTCCAGATGAGGAAAATGATGCCCAGAGCACTGAAGTGACTTGCCCAAGGTTAATAAGTGGATGAGGAGGAATTTTTGTTGAGATTTGATGATTGGGACAACCTATCACTGGACTTGAAACCACTGGACTGGAGGACCCCTCAATGAGTGGCAAAGCCAGAAGTTTCTGCTTTAGGAATCCAGCCCTTGAAGTCTGGGAGTTGGGGTGCAGAAGACCTCACAGTCCTCCAGGGCTTGTGGGGTTAACATTGTCGTCCCCTCCTCTGAATACATGGGCCAGATGAGGTTGAAGTTATGACTTGATAAAAATGCCTCTTGTACTACTGGCTGCTGCTTTTTAAAATTTTTTTAAATAATTTTTAAAAAATGGTTATTTATTTATTTTGAGAGAGAGAGAGAGAGAGAGAGAGAGAGAGAGAGAGAGAGAGAGAACCAGTGGGGGAGGAGCAGAGAGAGAGGGAGAGAATCCCAAGCAGGCTCTGCACTGTCAGCACAGAGCCTGATGTGGGGCTAAATCTCATGAACCATGAGATCAAGACCTGAGCCAAAATCAAGAGTCAAATCAAGGCGTGCCTGGGTGCCTCAGTCGTAAGTGGCTGACTTCAACTCAGGTCATGATCCCACGGTTTGTGGGTTCAAGCCCCACACTGGGCTCTGTGCTGACAGCTCAGAGCCTGGAGCCCTGCTTCAGATTCTGTGTCTCCCTCTCTCTCTGCCCCTCCCCCGCTCACCCTCTGTGCCTCTCTCAAAAATCAACAAACATTAAAAAAAACAGAGTCAAATCTAGAGTTAGATGCTTAACTAAGCCACCTAGGCACACCCCAATGGCTCCTGCTTTAAAAGGCAGGTGTGTGTGTGCGTGTGTGTGTGCGTGTGCGTGTGCGTGTGCGTGTGTGTGTGTGTGTGTGTTCTATCCTTAACTGAAGCTGAAGTTGGGCTAATTGCATTTTAACCCCATCAGAGGACACATTGCCCTGATGCCACTTGCCCCCTCTTCTTTGGGAACACAGGGAGCAGGAGGGTAACCGGCTCGCCAGGACCGTCTGCCTGGCTCCTAATAATAAATTGTGAGAGGAACAGGTTTCAGGCAAACACTGCGTATTAAAAAAAAAAAAAGAAGAAGAAGAAGAAGAAGAAGAAGAAGAAGAAGAAGAAGAAGAAGAAGAAGGCTCTTCTCACACCCGGGCAGCATCTGCCGTGTCCTCCACACGTGCCAAGTGGTGGGAGGAGGAAGGGACTGCAGCGGGTGGGGAAGGGAGGAGGTGCCCGCCGGGTCCTTAATCGCCAGCAGGGAGGCTCACACATTCTCTTCCTCTTGCCACTGTGGACAGGGCTCTGCAGAGACAGAGAAAGGAGCGCTCGCTGGCTTTGACCTCCCTGGTATCTGAGCATAGGGAGCGCACAACTCCTTCAAGATGCCGACGGTAGGTATTAGCTCCTGCGTATGGAGCGCTTGCTGTGGGTCAGGCACTGTGCTCGCCACCATACATATATCAGCTCATCTAATCCTAACCACAAATCTATATGCACCCATTTCATAGATGAGAGACTGGAGGCTCAGAGACGTTAAGTGATTCACCCAAGGTCACACAGCAAGGCCGCCTCTTCAGTATGCAATAATGAGGCCCAGCCTCCTCTCTACCCTGGCAACCCAGAGTGGGTTTTCCCTGTAACAGATAAGCAGTTGACATCACCCAAGGGCAGTCTCCCACCTCTAGCCCTGCCCCCAGACACCCTCTGCCCTCTGCCCTTGGGCGGAAACGTAGGCTTCTCTGGTCACCCAACCCGTTGGTCAATGCCTCTCCCCATCTCACCCAGTCAAAGAAGCACAGGAGAAAACGCTCCGAAGTTCTCAAGGAACCTTCAGAGAAGGTCAGAGGACAGCTGGCTGAGGCTGAGCTTCGGAAGCTGAAGCAGCAATTCAGGAAGATGGTGGAAAGCCGCAAGTCCTTCAACTTCTGCTCCCAGCAGAAGATCTCGAACCAGCAGTAAGTGATGGTCAGAGCTTTGTACTGAGTGAACTTGGAGAAAGTTTTGGATTTGGTTTCATGGGATTTACTTTCTCATGTGGCCTCTGGGCGGGAAGCCGATTCTGAGCCCAATCTGGGTACTTAGGTGGGACAGCTTCAGTAGGAGGGAGAATTTATTCTCAGAATTAGGGTGTCACAGGGACTCCAAGGGGGGCAGGACAGCCATGCCTCAGGGAAGGACCCGAATGAAAAACAATTTCTGGTTCCTGTTTCTTTCTGCACGTGGGTTTCGTTCTTCCCTATCTGGATCTCAGCACTGGCCGGTGGGAGATGGCTGCCCCAACTCCTGAGCTACCAAGGACCACACAGACTGTAGTGAATCCCAAAGTCCCAGGAAAGAGGGAATCTGATTGGCTTGGTTTGGGTCAGGTGTCTACTTCTGGTCCAGTCAGCTGTGCCCGGGGGAGGGACAGGACCATAGGGCACAAAACGGCTATTGTCACTCCCCTGGTTCTGGCAATGGGGGTGGGGGAGTTTCCCGAGGAGAGGAAATCATCAGGCTGTGTCTATCCCAAAATATATTTCCTGCTGTGCATCCTTATGGAGTCTGCAAGATCAAATATTTGAAATTGGATTGTCCTAGAAATTATGATGTTGATAGCTTCTTTAGACAATAGAAAGGTGTTCCCTGGGGTTGAATAAGCAAATATCCTTAGATTCCCTTCAAGGGAATGTAATTCCTTGGCTACATCCTTAACATTTATACAGGCAGAAACTGCCCATTATTAGAAAGAAAATCTTACTGTTAGATGTCGTGTGAAGTTCAGAGGGTAGGGGAAAAGGAGCTCTTTCCATTTTCTGTGGATTCAACTCACGCAGAGCTACCGCTAGTCCGTTTGGGATCTTCCTGTGAATTAGAAAAAGACGCCCTTTCTCAGGACACTTTACTGCCATCTCTTGGAAACACTGTCATCCCATAGGGATTTTGTTAGAACAAGATGAAGCACCTCCCAGGAAAGGGTATTAAGTCAAGAAATCAATGATTGTTTTTCAAGCAGATGGTTCTCTCTTGGGCTGTGCAGTCCACAACCTGCACATCTGTGCTTGGCAGCCCTGATTCACAGCTTACCGCTGGTGGGCATCAGGAAATGCCTCCTTCCTGGTGGGTCTCTGACAGTTTTTCTGGAATCTTACCCTTCACACTACCACCTTCATCCCACTTTTCACTGTGACGGACCTAAAGGGGAAGGAGTGGAAAAGTGGAGATCTTAGATTCTTCAAGTGAAACACCTATAAATAGGGGCCAGAACTGAGATGAGCTGAGTGAGGTGCCCAGGGTGCAATATTTAAGGAAGTGCTTTTTCCAGTGCTTCTCCTACACCTATACCACCTTAAGAGTGAAAGCCTCCTTAAATTTAGGGGTGCCTCACTCCGGTCCCAGTCCTGCTGATAAGACAGACAAACCTTCCTTTTACTTTTGCTGAGCCCTCTGAATTCCTAACTCTGGTGGACTCTGTTCGTTTTTCTCTCCACCTTAACAAAGACCCCCTGCCAAGAGGGGCTTAAGATGGGGGGAAAGGTCCCAGCTACCAGGTTTAGAAGACAAGCTGCTCTAGAATTAGGGGTGCATTCCCACAGGTGGCTATTTACATTTATAATTGGTGGAATACCATTTAAAGTTCAGTTCTTCCTTTGCACTGGCCACATTGCAAGTGCTCCACAGCCTACATGGCTGGTGGATTCTATGGGACAGTGCAGATAGAGAACAGTTCCATCATTACAGAAATTCGATTGGACGTGTTGCTTTAAAACGGGTCAGCGAGCCATGACCCCTGGGCCAAGTCTGGCCGCCTGCCTGTTTTTGTAAATAAGGTTTTATTGGAGCATGGCCACGCCTATTTGCTTATGCATCTCCCATGGTTACTTTGTTGAATCATTGCAATAGAGACCATCTGGGCCTACGGATCCTAAAATATTTACTTTTTGGCCCTTTAAAGAAAAATGTTTGCAGACCCCCCCCTCCCCACCCTAGAACATTTTGCTGTTCTAGAACAATGCTTCCAAAACTTTAATGTGCATGAGTCACTTGAGGATCTTGTTACCGAGCAGATTCTGATTCAATAGGTCCTGAGCTAGGGCCTGAGCTTCTGCATTTCTCCAAGCTTCCAAAGGCTATGCAGGCAGCGGGTCTGCAGACCGCACTGTGCAGCAGGTGTCGGTGCCTAGACTTTGCCAGAAACAGCCTCTGTGCCGTTTCCAGTCATTGGGTTGTTGAGTAGTCGCGCGAGCCTTTTCTTTTCAAAATCCCTGTTTGCCCACACACCTACCCCTCTCTTCTCCAGAGGGGAAAGCGAGAGAGAGAGAGAGAGAGAGGGGGGGGGGGGGGGAGAGAGAGAGAGGAGACTCATGTCAGTCATTTAATAAATCATTAGCACCCCGCATAGAGACAGTGGGGGAGGTTGGAGGTTACGGAGCATCTCTGTGTTGAGGCGAAATTGAAAATGCCTGGCTGATGGGCTTGCCTCTCGTGACCAGAGATCATTGGCTGCAAAGTCTGGAAAGAAAGTCAGCAAGATCAGACAGATGCCCATGAGCTGCTGGCAAAAGAGAACCTGGTCCTAGAACTCAGGTGTTGACAGGCACAGCTGCAAGTTGTTCCCTAGCAAGCAAAGGCCCGCTAGAGAGGGGCGGAGCCATGGAAGGTGCGGTGAACTGGGCGGCGGGTGGTCAGAGTTCTAGCCCTGGACCCCAGACCCTGACAAGCCCCTGCCACTTGCAGGGGTGGGAAGTACCTCTCCGAGGCTCCTTCAACGCTAAGGAGCCTGGGGCACCCGGGCGAGGTAAACTCGGGGCGGGGTTCAGAGTCAATCACGTGCTGCTTTCCCAACAGCAAGGAAATCAAGACCCTGCAGAGGGAGCAGGAGGAGATCACTCTGCTTCTGGGTCTCATCAAGTCCTCGAAGAACTTGGAACTGAATGAGAGAAACTACACGGAGCTGTGTTTCCTGCTGCAGACCAAGGAGGACTACGAGGCCCTGATTAAATCACAGAAGGTGCTGTTGGCAGATCTGGATGAGAAGGTGTGGTCTTTCTCGTAGGGGGTTAACCAGAGCGAGGAGCAAGGGCGGGAGTGGGGGCGCGGGAATACCCACCATGCCTTAGGCCAGATCTGAACCCTCCCCCCATATTCTAAAGGTGACTGTGATCACTCCACCACCTTGGGACCCCTACTCTCCCAGTGCTACCAGGCCATTCCTCCGCTGTGCTCCCCAGCGCCTCCCCACTACCCTTAGAGTCAATTCTCAACCCCGCGCTGTGTTGGTCAGGAGAGGTTAGGTTATACCGCAATAACACCCTTCCGCCACAACTCAGTGTTTTGAGCAATAAAGGTTTCTTCTTCGTTCCTGCTGTGTCTATCATGGATTGGCTAGGGGCTCTTATATCTTCTCATCCTGGGACCAGGTTGCCAGGTGTTGTGGCAGAGAAAAAAGGTTCTGGAAAGTCTCACACTGGCAATTGAAAGCTGCAGCCTGGAAGCAGTACATTGCTTCTGCTTATGACCCATAGGCTCAAAATAGTCAAATCCATATATACCCCAAATGCCCATCCCCGAATAGTCAACTCTACCCATCCACAAAAGGGTCGAAGAAGTGTATGTATCCAGAAGGCAAAGAGCTAGAGACATTTGTTGGACAATGTTAATGGTCATATCTCTTCCTATGGCTTGAGAGGCCCTGTGATCTAGGCCCTGCCTACCCCTCTGTTCTCATCCCACGTCACTCCTTCCTTCAGTCATCTCACCCAGCTGCAGAAGACTTCCCCCTTCCAAATATGTGAAAACTGGTCTGACCTCAGGGCCTTTGCACGTGTTCGCCTGATCCCCGCTGTCTGTCTTTTATGTCTCAGCTCAAATGTGACTTTTAAAGGGAGGCCTTTTCTATGTCCTCTCTCCTATTTAAAGCATATCCCCCTTGCATTAACTAGGTTCCTGGCCAAAAACAAATAGTATGCTCAGTAAGGTACTTTGAGAAGAGTTTTATGAGGCACTGTTTACAAGGGTGTGAGCACAGAGTAGGGACATTGAAGCACTGTAGGGTTAGCCACAGTGGGCAGGGGGCACACCCCAGAACTTGAACACAGGGAGCATGCCAGGGGGAACAAATACCCCAACCTCTCTCTTCTTACCCATGGACCCCCAGTGCAAGGAGGCCATTGTGGACTCCTTCCAGGTCAGCTTCCTGGGGCACAGAGCAGGGTGGGTGGCACAGAGTGGAGAGTGAACCTCAGGAGTCAAACAGAAGATCCCAGAACACCCCCTCGGCCCCTTTCACGACATCCCATGGCCCCCCCTTGATAGCGCTTCTCATAGTGGTAATTATGGCTTAACACGGGTGTCATCTGTCCCTATAACGTGTCACCTGCAGGAGGGCAAGGACCATGTCTGTTTTGTTCCCCTCGGTACATCCCATGCGTGTGCCAGTGCCTGGCACATAGTAGGCCCTCAATAAATATTTACTGACTGAAAGAATCTGGAAATCTCATTACATCTTTCCTCTGCTTGCAAATCCTTCAGTAATTTCCTGTTGTTCTTGAGATAAGGGCCAGACTCCCCCATGTGGTCTGCTGGCTCGGCTGCCCTGTGTCCCTCCTGCCCCTTCCACCTTCCCTCCTGCTCCCCCCTCCGTGTTCCATCCACACTGGCCACCTCCATAAACCTACAGTGCTGTCTCTCCCCTGCAGGCCTTTGCACATGCCCTTCCCTCTGCCCGGATTGCCCTTCCATCTTCTTTGCTTGGGGGGCTCCTATTCATCCTGTAGGCCTCAGCCCAAATGCTACTTCTGCCGGATACTTGTCCCTTCATTTCCCTGCCAGATGCTCCCACTGGACGTGTCCAAAATGCCTTACATCTCCCTTTTCCTAGGACTAATTATGCTTCATAGCTTGTTTCTAGTCCTAGATTATAGGTTTGTGTTGAGGCCAGGGGCCATGATACCGTCTTGGTCACCAGCATCCCTCTGTTGTCTGGCACAGAGAGGGCATCTAAGAATCATTGAGGAATGAATGAATGAATTTGTGGATGAGAAAGGAGGCAATAGCAGTGAAGAAAGAGGAAAAGTGAAGAAAAGATGGGGACATGGGTCCTCAGAAATAGTAGGAAAAGGCAGCCTGCTTTGGAATCCGCAAAAGAACATGGGGCTCACCGCCCTGTACAAAACCCCTTTTAGCCCAGCTCCATCCCAGGGAGGGCGGGTCCCAGAATCCCCTGCTGCTATGCCCAGAGCTTCCTTCTTGCAAGAGGTCACTGGAGGCAGGGACCTCACCAGGCCCTGCCTGGCCTCAAAGAGCAAATAAGCCTATGCCTTCATGCTGGAGAGAGCACCTTGCGTAGGCAACGCATTCCTCCGGCGGTGCAGCCTTGGATGTGTCTCTTTTTGGGCAGAGGCCTAATTACTCTCAGCGTCACAAAAGCAACGTCTGACAAAGAGATGCCAAAGGGAACAGGAGGCTGAGTTTAATGACAAGAGTCACTGGGCAGAGTGCTGACACCACAGCATCCTTTGACAAGGAGCTAGAACCTGAGGTCTCCCGGTGAACTCAGGCAGGGGCGGGCATCCCTTCGGCACAGGCCACGCTTTGCTCCAGAGATGCTGCCCTCCCATATATTACAACGAGTTGTTTGTTTCACTTCGTAGGTGAGTTAGTGGGGCTCTGTGTTGAGGGAGCTGCCTGTGCACAGCGTAAGAGAGAAGAAAGTAGACGGGGGTCTGACTTGAACCAAAGCCTGGCTACTATGATTGAATCATAAACAGCGTTCACATGCCTTACGAGTTTGTGGGCAACCTAGCGGTTCCCTTGATGCCTGATCATCTGAGCTGCCATCTTGCTTGATGTACCAGTGGGCATGTGTTGGGCTACGGAAGTTTGTTTTTCTCACATAATATGATGTCTGTCTGGAAAAAGATTGTCCCAGAGATGGGTTAGTAGCTCTACAATGATGGGTTGGTCTTTTTCTCTCCGATCCTCTTGGTTGGCCCTGGCCTCATGGTCACAAGATGGCTGCCAAAGCTTAGCTGGTATAGCTTCTCACAGAATCACATTCAAAGATATGAAGAAAGGATAGGGGGTCTTGTTCTTATATGATATTCTCTCTTATGAGGGAGAGAATATTTCACAGAAACTCTCCAGCTGATTTTCCCTCATTGGCCAGGGCATATACCTACTTCTAGGCCAATCACTGGCAAAGGGAAATGAAATTTCTATAATTGGTTGGGGGCTAGACCAGGGGCGGTAAACTGTGGTGTGAGAGCCCAATCTGGTCTGTTTATGGCCCTCCAGAAAAGAATGATTTTTACAAAGAAGACAGACTATCTCTTCCTATGACTGTTTTAGGAAATGAGGAAACTTTCTCCAGAGGCTTCCCTAGCAATCATCCTGCCTAATTCATAGGCCCTAACTAGTTTAGTCCTGTCCAACCTTGAATGAATAAATCATAGAGGGGACACAATTACCATAGTTGGCTTGGATCAGCCTTCTGGGGTGAGATGGGTTTGGGGGGCCAACAACCCACCACATCCATTACAGTTCTGGCTGTTCATACCTCTTCCAGCTACCTGGCTCTGGAACATTCTTCTGTCCTTTGCTTGGTATCTCTCACTGCCTGAAACCATCTTTCATCAGCATACTGTGGTTCCTTCAAGATTAAATGTGGGTGTAGACCAAATTGGTGGTCTTCAGGACAGATTAAGTCTGACAACATGAGGGCTTTGGCCCAGTCAGTGTTTAAAATTTATTTTAATTAGTTAACTTGTTAAAATTGAGAGATTTCATGTAAAAATTTGGGTATCTGACTTTTCTTCAAAAAAAGAAAAAAAGATGGAAAGATTTCGTAACATTGACCCTGAATTTCCTTGGGACAACTGCAACTAAATAGTGTTGTGGTGACACCACAGCTGTTTACCCACTCTCTACTTCTTCCTCTCTAACAGATTCCTAAAGAGCTGTTTCTCATCTTCCCTTGCAGCTAAAGGTGGTCAATGAAATTTGAGGGGAAGTCTGTTGGGGGTGTCTAGAACGTTTTGCTTCCTAGATATAGGTCCTAGCCATTTATCCATGTTGCTTCTTCTACCTTCCTGCCTGGAATATGACTGTGAAAGCTGGTGCAGTGGCAGCCATTTTTTGACCATCAGGGAAAGGCCAGGTGAATTACAGAGATCTTGTGTTTAGTTCCTTGAGTTACTGAACTTAACCTGGCACGTTTATGGAGAGGAAGATAAACCATAATTTGTTTGAGCCATTGTTTAGTTGCATTTTCTATAATTTGTAGTTGCATGATACGAACTGCTGCCTCTTAAGGCAGGGAGTATGTGCTCCAGTTTTCTATATTCTCCACCGTCCTGTACGGTCTTATAGTGGGCCCACTTTACGCTTTTATGCCACCTGCTTGGGCATAGTTTGCAACCTCTAGTATAGATTTTTCTCTCAATGTTCCATGGTCATAACTGAGACTGTGCTGTATAGACTTCCCGAAGGTTTGGCAATAACCAAAGGAAACCACCATCTCAGGGACACTAACATAGAACCCCGGATGCGACTGCTCCCAGAATTCATCAGCCCAAGCTCAGCACAGGGGCGCCTTGCTCCCAGCTGGAAGCCAGCCTCCATGTAGCTGACAAACTTTATATTTCATTACACCAAGCACTTAACGTCTCTCATCTGGAACTTCTCAATTTCCAGACAGGAGCCGGCCTTCAGATAGTGAATTCAAGTTACTACCTCCAGACAAACAAGAACATAAAAAATTGCTTTAAATGACAGTGCCCTGACCCTTCACCCAGCAGGGTTCCAAAAAAAAAAAAAAAAAGTCTCAGAGCTTAGTCTCAGTCCAAACCCTAAGAAGATAAAGTACCTCTGACACATTAGGACCTGGCACTCACTTGTCTTCAGATAATAGTTCCATAAACTTCTGTAGAACCTGCTAGGATTTAGCACTAGCCAGCTGCTTCCAGATGGGGCTAACTTTTGGGAGGCAATTTGGATCTCTGCCTGGGTTGGGTTAAAGCTGTATGTCAGGTTGGTTATGCACATTGCTAGTGGTGTGAGAAAATGACATGATCCGCTGTCACTTGTATGAGAAACTGCAGAGTGAGCTCTGTGGGAAGGTGATGGCAGGGGTGGAGGTGGGGGGTATGCTTGGGTCTGGAGAACTTGGCTGGAGCTGCAAGGGTAGAGAGAAACACCAAAATTCTCTCCTGCCAGCCATGGCAAGGGTGTATGGCCCTTCTCTGAAGTCAGAATCAATGATCCCAGTGCATAAAGCGCATGGCGTGTTAGCGATGCTTTTGGCCACAGGTGACATGATACCTAACCAAAAGAAGCTTGCACCAAAAGGTGAGTGAAATTTACATGCACACGTAAAAGCAAAAACTCTCAATCGCCTCATTTTACCCCAAACTGGCTGAGATTAAGTTGCGTTGAGCATGCATTCGAGAGAGAAATAAAAAATCCTTTTGTAGGAAAGGAAAGAACATTAGAGTTTTTATTTTAGCACACTTAAGTTAATGAACTGTTGAATCTGTACCCATATAGATATTAATTTAACACAGTTGGGGGGGGTGTCTCTCTCTCTCCTTTTTTTTTTCCAGATTGCTCAGATGGAAAAAAAAATTATAAACCAAAAACAGATCTTCGCCAAGATACAGAAAGCCAATGACCCCCGGAAACTGCAAAAACAGATCCACATTTTGGAAACCCGTTTGAATCTCGTACGTACGTGTTCTCTGCAGCTTTGCAAACCGCTCTGCCTTCCCTTTGCTCAGAGCAGAGAATGATCCCCATGGTACCTTTAGCAGAACACATCCATCTTGTTGGTTGACTCAGAAGAAGGTTAAATAATAGGGTTCACCCAAGCCAGGCAGCCTTTTAGACTTACCATCCACCCTACTCTATCCACTCTGTTCCATCCACTGGTTGACCCACTGTTACCCAAGGTGCCTTTCTCTTTCTTGCTCTCTGCATTTTATGTACCATGCTGCTGCCTGCCTCCCCCCACCATCCACATCTCCCACCCCTCCCGGGATACCTGTTCTTAGTCACTTGACTTAAAAACTCTTGCTCATTCTCAAGAAGCAGCTCAAATATTAGCCCTCAGCAAGCAGAATTAGTTAGACCTTCCCTCCCATCGCAATCTGTTCACACCTCTGTGAGACCTGGTACTTTTTGGTTGTTGTTGATGTTGTCTCTAGGAAATACTCAGCACAGACATGCATAACCAGATAAAGAGAAAAGTGGTATTTCCTGATCGCTTTCAGTTTATAGTGAGTTTTGCATTAAGCAGGATTTTCTAAATTGCAAACTGGCTTAAGCAAAAAAAAAAAAAAAAAAAAAGGAGAATGGATTGGTCATGGAACTAAAATTTCAGAGGCAAAAGTGGGGCCTTCAGGAATAGCTGAATCCAGATGCCCCAAGCATGTCTTTAGGATACTTTCTCTGTCCATCTCTCCTTTGCGTAGAGATGACTACATTCTTGGGCAGCCCCCCAATGTGAACAAACACCAACAGAAAAAGACAATCTCTTTCCTAAGAATTCAATCATAAGTCGCAGGGAGGGCTCCCATTGGGCCATCCTGGGTCAAGTGCCCATCCCTAAACCAATCATGGTGGTCAAAAAAAATGAAATACATGGACTTGAGTCACATAACTACGCTTGTACCACTCCCCCCACTCCCACAGCCCCCACCCGAAGTCAAGGGACGGCAGCCCTGTCCAACAGTGTGGACTGAGAGCTAGGGAGAAGTGGTTCTCCTGGAAAAGCAAAAAGAAAGAAAGAAGCAATGCTGGGCAGGTACAAACACATTTCAGTCTGACGTGTGAAATTACAGTTCTCACAAAATGAGCCAGGAGAGAGGGAAAGTGAATTGATTTGGAAGGAAGCCTGTCAGCGCCTCATTATGCAAAGCTCTTAGCTTCCCCCAAACTCTGACCATCAAGCTTTAACCGGGCATGTTTGAAGGCAATTGGATATGACCTCTGTCTGCCCCGGTAACCTGAAAGTGGACTGAAGACAGGGCAGTGTCTTTTTAATATCCACGCACAGTGACTTGTACCCATGTCTCAGAATGCCTAGGATTTGTGTTAACATGCAGATTCCTGGGTCCCCTCCAGATTCACTGGTTCTGAGTCAGAACCTTTAAGGCTTAGACCCAGGCATCTGCACTGTTATTATAACTCCCAGTGAAACTCTTACTGAAAACCCCAGTGAAACCAAAGGTTAAGAATCAAGGTTAAGGTTAATGATTCCCTTGGTTAAGAATCATTAATGCCTGGCACAGTGTGAGGCTTAGAGTAGGTACTTAGCAAACATCTGTTGATTAAATGAATGAATAAAGGTATGCATGATAGAGGTCTACTTTTTTGTTTATAGATCTATTCAGGTTTTCTATTTCTTCCTGAATCAGTTCATTAGTTTGTTTCTTTCTAGGAATTTGTCCATTTCGTCTAAGTTATCTTCATTTGTTGGTATACAATTGTTCCCAGTATATTGCCTTATAATTCTTTTTATTTCTGTAATGTCTGTCGTATGTCCCCTATTTTATTTCTGAGAGGTTTGCTCTTTTGCGTCTCAAAACGGTCCCCTTTCCTTTCTTCCCTGACCAGTTCTGGGTGTGCCTTTTACTAGATTAGGTAACCAACTCTAAAGGTTATTTCAGGGTCCCCAAATATTCCATGACCTTAAAGACTCCTCCATTTACTCAATGGGGCGTGAGAGTCCTCCCCATTTTTATCCCACAATCAGAGGATGGGTAGCATGCCAACAGTCCTGGAGTGGAATTCACACTACAGTGCAAATGACTGATAAGTGATATCTTCTTAAGGGTAAGTGGAAGATATTGAGAGAATAAGGATGATTCTGTTCCTGGATTCCCTTCCCTTGTGTGGTGGCTACTGACATATCCTACAGAGGAGCCCGGGGCCAGGCAAGTAAAGAGCCCAGAGTGCAGAATTTAAGAAAGCACTCATGGAAATGCAGGGTTGACACCAGAAAATGAGTACCTCCTTAAATTTTGCATCCTGGTGGCCTCACTTGCCGTACCCCATCTCAGCCCTGTGGAAGCCTAAGGTTTCTCCAAATATGCCTTGAAAACCTCTGATTGAATCTACTTTCTTGTGATTAGGAATATTTTCTGCAATTGTTTCTTTTCAGTGTCTATGGGAGCACTCCTCATAAAATTTTTTTTATTAGGATAAATTTATTAACATGTACAGAAAAGTTGAGGGAATCAAATAATGAACACCCACATACCTATCACTTAGATTTAGTAATTGTTAACATTTTACTATTCTGTTTCACCCTTCTTTTCCCTGAAGTATTTTAAGGTAAATTACAGACATGATGATATTTCACCCCAAATACCTCCATCTCTAAAATCAATCATCTTTAAAAATCAAACATTTTCTTTCATAGCCACAAAACCATTATCACACCTTACAAAATTAATACTATTTCCTTAATATTGCCCACGTTAAAAACTTCTCTGGCTGGCTCCAAAATGTCTTTTAAAATTGGAGACTGTCAAGTTTCACCTAATAGGTCTCTTAAATTTCTTTAATCGACAACAATGGATCTCAAGCAGAAATGATTTTGCCCCCAAAGGGGCATTGTCTCTAAAAAGAGACATTTTTGATTGTCACAACTGGGTTGGGGCTGTGTTACTGGCATTTATTTTTATTATTATTATTTTTTTAATGTTTGTTTTTGAGAGAGAGAGAGAGAGGAGGGGCAGAGAGAGAGGGAGACACAGAATCCGAAGCAGGCTCCAGGCTCTTAGCTGCCAGCACAGAACCCGATGTGGGACTTGAACTCACAAACCTTGAGATCATGACCTGAGCTGAAGTCGGACGTTCAACTGACTGATCCACCCAGGCACTCCTGTGTTACTGGCATTTAGTGGGTAGAGACCAGGCATGTTTCTTTAAGAGCATAAAGCACAGGACAGCTCTCCACCACAGAGAATCATCCAGGCCCAAACAGTGCCAAGTTTGAGAAACCCTGTTCTACAAAAGCCCCATCCCAACTCTTTCCAGCCACCAACTTGTTGAAGAGTCTGGGTCAGCTGTCTTCTAGAAAGTTCTACCTTCTGGATTCGGCTGCTTGTTTCCTCATGGCGTTATTTACCTTTTCCTCTCTCCCCTGCCCTTGCTAAACACTGGAAGTTAGGTATAAAGGTAGTTGAGAAATTTAAAATCCGGGGGGTGGGGGGACTTACCTAAGACCACTTAGCCAGCTGGTGGCCAGCCCAAGTACTCCCACCCAGCACTCCCAAGTGGTGCTGTGGGCCTGAGGTGGGAGGTGGGGGAAGACCTTCCCACCCTCTGGCTGTCTTCGGAAGCTGTCTCATGCCCCAGGAGTGAGCTCAGTACTGAAGCACGGCCCCGCCCACAGGTCACCGTGCACTTTGACAAGATGCTGACCACCAATGCTAAGCTCCGGAAGGAGATCGAGGACCTGCGGTATGAGAAGGTTGCGTATGACAATGTGTATCAGCAGCTGCTGCGGCGCTTATCGATGCAGAAGAAAACCATGAATGTGGCCATCGAGCAGTCTGCCCAGGCCTATGAGCAGAGGTGGGCTGGGGGGAGACCTAGGGGCAGGGATGTCTCTTAAGCCCCTGCCGAGCACCTCTGCCCCTGGGCTTATGCATTGAGGGATCTTGAATCATAATAACTCTGAGCACTGACTGTGTGCCAAGCACGATGCCAGGTTCTCTGGGTATCATTGCAACCCTCACAATTGCCCCGGGAGTTATTATCCCTATTTTGCGGACCAGGATACAGAGGCTTAGAGATGCCATTTGCCTGAGAGCCAGGTAAATGGCGGATGTGGTAGGACTGAGATTCAAACTTCTCTGCCGAACCGCCTCCTCCAGGTAGCCCTGCCTCTGGTCCTAGGGGCCTCTCGGTCCGGCTTATCTCCTTTGCCTCCCACTCCAGGGCAAGAGGCATATAGCTGGGCTGTGAAGAGAACAGGTTTTAGAGTCAGATCTGGGTTTGAATCCTGGCGCCATCCATCATTACTGTATTATTGTAGGACCACTTTGGATGGTAGTGGGGAATAAACAATATATGTATATAAGGACTCGCTGGGCCACAGTAACTGACAAGTGGTGATGATGATGGTGATGGTGGTGGTGGTGGTGGTGGTGATGATGATAGAAAACTCACTTCCTGGGGATGGTCTGGAGCCAGCAGCTCCTGTCATTCAGGTAAGGAGGGCTGTTCTTCCACTCCCAGCAACCTCCACGATTCAAAGAAGTGATGGCCATTGGCAGAAAGTGCCCTCTGGTCTGGTAGGGGGAGGGGAGGGGAGGGGAAGGGAGGAGTCTCCAGACGCTCAGACCCTGTACCTGCCTCACTCAGGCTGGAAGCCATGGCTCGAATGGCCGCCATGAAGGACCGCCAGCAGAAGGACATTTCTCAGTACAACCTGGAGATCCGAGAGCTGGAGCGTGTCTATGCCCACGAGACCAAGCTCAAGTCCTTCTTGCTCATCAAGCTGAATGATCGTCTGGAGTTCGAGGAGCAGAGCAAAAAGGAAGAAGGTACGTTCTCCAGGCATTCTCTCTCTCTCTCTCTGTCTCCCCCCTCCCTCCCCATCTTAGCTGAGGGTGCCCAAGTCCTTCTGTAGTAGGCATGCCAACTTTAGCGAATAAAATTACAAGATGCGTAGTTAAATCGACACTTTAGATAAACTGAATAAATTTTTAAATAAAATAAAAATTATTTCTACGTTATCTACAATTGGGACACAATTTATACTTTAAAAATGTATTGTTTGTCTGAAGTTCAAATGTAACTGGGAGTCCTGTATTTTATTGGCCAACCCTAACCCATAGGATGTGTCCTTACTCTGAGGTTCTCCTTCCATTGTTTCGTTGGGGGAGACTCGGGTATTAGGTCCCCAGGACCATCCCCACGTTTGGTGATTTGCTAGGAGGACTCTAAAGATTGAGTGTGTAGGCACATGCATGGCTGGGAGGTGGAGACACAAAGCACGCTCAGCGAAGGCGAAAGGGGCACCGGGCAAAGTCTGGAGGAAACCAGGAGTAAGCTTCCGGGACCCTCTCCTAGGGGAGTCACACAGGATGTGCTTAATTCCCCCAGCATCTCACTGTGACAACACGTGTGAAGAGCTGTCTGCCAGGGGAGCTCATTACGGCCTCGGTGCCCAAGATCTTACTGGGGGCTGGTGACGTAAGTGTCCTCTCCCCTGCACACACCAAAATGCCAGCCTCCTGGAAGGAAAGTCTGTGTTTAGCATCAACCCCACACAGCATCTGCCCAGCCTAGGCACAGGGAGTCCCTCCTAGCATTCAGGCAAAGTTTTATATCCCTGTAGGGCACTGGTTACCATTTAGGTGCCCAGGTGCCAGCCACGGGACACCCTCGCAAGAAGAGCCCTTTCTAAGGAGGACAGTCTCAGGGCCGTTGTATTCACTGTCTCCTGAACAGACGGAAAAAAACCTGAGCTCTTCTGAGAGCCCCCCGGGAAGCTGCATCTGTTCTTTGTTCCTGCAGCATCTCCTGGCTCTTCCTGTCTTTACATTTGGGACCGCGTTGTGAAAAGTGTGTTTCTGAGAAACCCCATCTCTCACTCTTTAACATAACACGTAAAGGAGCCACGTGGCCAGAGGTGCCTAGGAAGATCTAGAAAGATCCCTGTGATTGTCATGTGGAGGCCAAACCAAAGAGACAAGACTGGGGCGCCTGGGTGGCTCAGTTGGTTAAGTGTCTGACTCTTGATTTTGGCCCAGGTCATGATCCGGGGACGTGGGATTGAGCCCCACGGCGGGCTCCGTGCTGAGTGTGGAGCCTACTTAAGACTCTCTCTCTCTCTCTCTCTCTCTCTGTCTCTCTCTCTCTCTCTGTCTCCCTAAAAAAAAAAGAGAGAGAGAGAGAGAGAGAGAGAGAGAGAGAGAGAGAGAGAGAGAGAAGACTGGGTTCAGGAAAGGTGGGGCTTTTGCAGGCTTCAGGCTAGAGAGAATGAAGCCTGGAGAACCTTCTTGGTTCTAATTCCTTGAATTTGCCAGGGTCTGAGCCTGCCCGGGGCCCTCTGCCAACAGGGCTCCCTTGACCTTCATCCTGTTCAAATGTCACCTCCCTCGAGAGGACTTCCCTGGCCACCCAGCTCCCCCGTCAGAGCACCTGACGCGTCTCCTCCATCACCTGGGCTACAGGTTTCTTCTGTCTGCGTGGACATCTCCTTTTCCCTTCTCTGCTTGTCTGATTCCTGCGCTAGAAGCTCCACGGGGCAGGGGAGTGTGTCTGCAGAGCCCAGCACAGCGTCTGGCACATAGTAGATGTTCGGTCACGTATCTGTGAAGCGAGTAGGCACGAAGCTCTTGCGCTCCCCCTCCTGGAAAAGCCTAGCCTCCTCCCCGAGGCACAATAAACATTACGGAGCCGGAGCCGTCTCCCGCCTGGCATCGCTCCGAGTGGCTTCCTCTCAGCCTCACACTTCCCGGCTTTTCCTTCCCAGCCCTCAAGGCAAAGAAGTACAAGAGGAAGAACAAGGGTGAGAGTTTTGAGAGCTACGAGGTGGCGCACCTGCGGCTGCTGAAGCTGACAGAGAACGGGGACCTGAATGAGCTCATCGAGGGATTTCTGGCCAAGGAGGAGAAGAACTTTGCTCGGTTCATGTACGTCACGGAGCTCAACAATGACATGGAGACGATGCACAAGAAGACCCAGAGAATCCAGGTCGGGGCTGCTCTTCTTTCCTGGGTCCGGGACCCACACACTCTCATAACGGCCTTTCTCAAAGGGGGTTCCTTGAAACACACCTTGAGCTGCTCTATAGAGAAGAGGGCCTCAGGGTCTGATCCGTTTGGGAAACACTGTATTCCCCCAGGCTTTCCCCCCTACATTTTAACCTTTCTGAAGTTGGTATTTGCCTTCAGCTGATGCAAACACTTAGTGTGGTCCTGTCACCATCCCCCCACCATAGTGACATAACCCATGGCATGTTCTATAGTCCTGGGTTCAGTAGACTATAGCCACGGCCAGATACAGCCTGTGGTCTGTTTTCGTACAGACCTGAGCTAATAAGAATGGTTTTTGCATTTTTAAAAAGGTTATAAGAAAAAAAAAGAGGGTATGTACGAGAGAGATCATATGTGGCCTGCAATGCCTAAAATATCTGCTATCTGGCCCTTTGCCTTAAAAGCTTGCTGACTCCTGTTAATCAGCAGCTTCACAGAACTGAGTAGAGATGGTCAAACCATCTTGAAGACACTTGATATACATGAGCATAATGAAGGCTCTGACGAGTCCTGCAGTAAAGAAACTTCTTTACCTTGGTTAAGCCCATCATTTCCCAAACTAAATTGGCTTCTTGGGCTACTTACTCCCCAGAACACACATAAGCAGCCTTTGGAACTGTCTGAACAGGATAGAGTCTAAACTTAGTATGACACTCCAGTCCCTTCAAAATTTGGCTTCAACCTGCTGCAGCAGGCACAGCTCTCTTCACGACCCCAGGGTGCCCTGGGCAGCTCCTAGTCTCACCCATCCTAGACCTTTCCCTCCTCTGAGGCCTCCCCGTGCCATTTCCTCCTCGCCCCCCCCACCCACTCCTGCTTTTCTTCTGATGAAATACTGCTCATTAGTCCTGACCCTGCACAAATGTCATCACCTCTGGCAGTTCATTACTCCTCCCTCTGGGGTCCCCATGCTGTTTGTATGACGAGGCGGGCCACTTCCGTTTGCAATGTCACTGTTTCCTAAATACGGAGCAGGTGCACTGGCTATGTGTAAGTAGCCAGTAGCCCGAATATAAGGGAAAACATTTTATTTTATTTTATTTTATTTTTTTAACGTTTTATTTATTTTTGAGACAGAGAGAGACAGAGCATGAACAGGGGAGGGTCAGAGACAGGGAGACACAGAATCTGAAACAGGCTCCAGGCTCTGAGCTGTCAGCACAGAGCCGGATGCGGGGCTCAAACTCACAGACCGCGAGATCATGACCTGAGCCAAAGTCGGCCGCTTAACCAACTGAGCCACCCAGGCGCCCCAAGGAAAAACATTTTAATTTACTAGTGATGAGTTAATTTTTATGAGGATTAGGATAAATATAGCTTGTGAACTTTTGATTGAATGCACATTGGTACTTAGGATGATAAGAAATACTCGTAACAGTAAGGAAATAAGGGTAAACATAATAAAATGAACACAACTGGGCTGATTTAAAGAAAACTCTTTTTTTTTAATTTTTTTTTTCAACGTTTTATTTATTTTTGGGACAGAGAGAGACAGAGCATGAATGGGGGAGGGGCAGAGAGAGAGGGAGACACAGAATCGGAAACAGGCTCCAGGCTCCAGGCTCCGAGCCATCAGCCCAGAGCCCGACGCGGGGCTCGAACTCCCGGACCGCGAGATCGTGACCTGGCTGAAGTCGGACGCCTAACCGACTGCGCCACCCAGGCGCCCCTAAAGAAAACTCTGGAGCCTGTTTCCGATTCTGTGTCTCCCTCTCTCTCTGCCCCTCCCCCATTCATGCTCTGTCTCTCTCTGTCCCAAAAATAAATAAACGTTGAAAAAAAATTTTTTTTTAATAAAAAAAAAAAGAAAACTCTTAATATACAATAATAGATAGTGATAGACAATACCACAGGTAGCACAGGAACACGATGGAAATGAAGGTGGTGCTATCTGTGAGGGTTATCGCAGGAAACATATGGCACGCCCCAAATGGGTAAATTGAGGTGGGTTTTTTTTTTTTTTAAGGCACTATTTACAATGGCTTAAGGAAATTACGAAGGGTAAGTGCAGGAGAAACAAAAGAGGGCTCCAGAACAGGTAAGGGGAAGGAGCCGTTTTCTGGAATCAGGGGAGAAGGCTGTCCATGTGTCTCTCCTGGAGGGATGCAACCGAGCTAGTGACCTGCCAGGTACCCCCAACATCTTTCCAGTCCTGTTGTCCGGGCCCAACCCAGGCCAGGGGACCAGGGAGCTCAGAGCCGAGCCCCTGGGGTTTAGGGCAGGAAGGGAGGTAGGTGGATTTGGGGGAAAACGGAGAATGTCCAGCTCTGTGTGTGTGGTGGGGGTAGGGGTGGGAGAGATGAGCTTGTCTCCTGTCTCCCTCTGTCTCCCTTCTGGAAGGTGATCTTCCAGGGGACAGGCACAAGAGTATACTTCCTCTTCTTTCCGAGTGCTCAGGATGGTCCTGCACACAGTGGGAGACACCAGGAAATGGTTCCCAAACAGCAATTGACCTGGACCTTCCCATTCACTTAAGAGGGCTATCCTTTTCTCTCTGTTAGGAAGAGTGTGTCTGATGAAAGATGGCCAGACCCCTGCCCTTTCTGGGCCTCAGTCTCCACATGTGTAGAATGACATAATGGGACTAGAGCAGTACTTTCCAGACTTTTAATAAAAAAGCTACAGAACATTTTTGTTTAAACCCAGGTTGAGGAAACACCGTACAGCAAACAGGTAAGGGGCGCCTGGCTGGCTCAGTTGGTCGAGTGTCTGACTTTGGCTCAGGTCAGAATCTCACAGTTTGTGAGTTAAAGCCCCACTTCGGGTTCTGTGCTGACAGCTTGGAGCCTGGAGCCTGCTTCGGATTCTGTGTCTCCCTCTCTCTCTCTCTCTTTCTCTCTGCCCCTCCCCTGCTTGCTTGCACTCTGTGTCTCTGTCTCTCTCTCAAAATTAAAAAAAAAAAAAAAACATTTAGAAAGAAAAACAAACCAGGTAAAATGGAGCAGTTGTGGATGAAGGGGGTGGGGGTTGGGAGGGGTGGTTGGAGGGGTTGCCTGGACCCTTGACCTTTTCACCTTCTTGTGGCACCTCTGCTCAAACTAGGGTTCAGGTAGGAAAAATATGTAAGTGAAAAACAATTAGGATACTAACATCTGACTTCGCCCCTTCCCCGAGCACCTGGATCAGAGGTCGTAACTGATTGAATCCCACTTTCTTTCTTCTTTTGCGTCGTCTCCCCTACCTCCCCCTCCCAGTTTAAAAATTATTGCTAACATTTGAAAATCGGGATATTCCACATGGGAATCGGGATTCCGGTTTCTCTCGGGAAATCCGATCAGACGACTCCGGGCCGCACTTCCGCGCGAGGTTGAGGTCCATGGGCTCAACATCCACCGAGACCCTCTGGGTCCGATTTGCGCCTGCGCCCAGCCCTGCGGGCCTTGGAGCTTTCGGCCTCCGGTGTAGGCGCTTCGCCGCTGCCCTCAGGTGGCCGTCTGCAGTATTGCATGGAAGGTCTTTGAACGCAGAGGTTTGAAGGATGGAAGGATGGATGGTCTGTTTGGGACCTGGGAGTGGGCAGGACGCTGATTCTTTTTTTCTAGGAGACAGCACCTTACTAGCCCCGGTAGGATGACAGGGACAGACCATAGCAGAGGGATGGGAGGACGCTAGTCGGAAACTGGCCCGATGAGGAAATGGTTACTGAACAAAACCGACCTCGATCTTTCCCCTTCACGGTGATGGTACACCCTCTCTAAGATACACAGCCTGTCTCTGGCCTGGGCGCGAGTATGTCTGATGAAGGATGAGCAAGTCCCCGATCTGCCTGGGCTTCAGTTTCCCCATTTGTAGAATGATGTGTGAACGACGGCAGTAGCTTCTGAGCTTTTCTTTGAAGTTACAGAACTGTGTGCCTTTTGGGGCTTAGCAGAGCTGCAAATTCCTGTTGAATAAGTCCTGAAAACACGTTGTTTCTAAAGAAAATGCTTAATGTTTAAAAAATCTTATAAGAGAAGGATATGCTTGCTCATTATAGAAAATTTGGAAACTACCTAAGGATTGAATTTTTTAAACCATCCATTATCCCATTCCTGAGAGACAATCATTGTTGCTATTTTGATCTATTTCCTTCTGATTTATTTTTTTGGGGGTGATGCTTTTAAACTTAACATAGTGATTATTATATAGTATATATAGATTCATGTATTCTGATTGAAAAAAGTGTTCTTTTGGTTATTTTTTCATTCAGCAAGTATTTATTGAGCACTTACTATGTGCCAGGCACTATTCTAGACCCTGGTTATGGGACAGAGAACAAAACAACAAAAGGCTCTGCCCTCACGGAGCTTCTATTCTGGCTGAGAAACAGACAATGAACAACAAGCCTACTAAATACATTAATTATAGGGTAGGGGCGCCTGGGTGGATCAAAGAGTCCAACTCTTGATTTTGGCTCAGGTCATGATCCCATGGTTTCGTGTGTTCGAGCCCCATTCAGGCTCTGTGCGCTGGCCTGCCATGCAGAGCCTGCTTGGCATTCTTCCTGTCTCCCTCACTCTCTGCCCCTTCCCCTCTCACACTCTGTCTCTCTTAACTAAATAAACTTTTAAAAATTATAGGATATATTAGAAAATGAGAAGTGGTGTGGATAAAAAGATGAAGTACAGCAGGTAAAGGGGGGGTTCTGGAGCCAAGTGAGGGCATGGGAAGTTGAGAAGTGAAGTTTGAGCAGACTTGCAGGAATAAGCTATGTAGATCTCTGGGGGATGAATATTCCAGGCAGAGGAAACAATAAGTGCAAAGGTCCTGAGGTAGGAAAGATGCCCATTTACAATACCAGGATCATTCTAGACAGTTCACACTGTTTCGAAAACTTTTCCCCCCAAGTTCATCATAGAACTCTCCAACATCTTCTATGTTCTTTTTAATGGCTTCTGGGGACCCTGGAATCTCTGTGTAGAATCATAAGAAACTTCTTAAAAATGCGATCCCCAAGTTCTATCCTATACCTACAAACCTAGATTCTCTGAGAATGGGCCAGGAATCTTCAATTGAAACCATATTTTTAGAAAAAAAAATATTAAAAACATTTTTGAGACCCATTGCCCCCATGATATGAATACTATCTTTTATTTAACTCATCCACTATCAGTAGACATTTAAGTTGTCTCTAACTGGGGGCCATTCTTTTCTTTTCCTTTTTAATGTTTATCTATTTTTGAGAGAGACAGAACATGAGTGGGGGAGGGGCAGACAGAGAGGGAGACACAGAATCCGAAGCAGGCTCCAGGCTCTGAGCTGTCAGCACAGAGCCCGATGTAGGGCCTTGAACCCACGAACCGTGAGATCATGACCTGAGCCGAAGTCAATAGCTTGAACGACTGAGCCACCCAGGCGCCCCTAATTGGGGGCCATTCTTGAGTAATAACCTGACAGACAACCTTGAACAGCCACTTTGCCCACATGTCCTACTATTTCCATGGGACAGATTTCTAGGGATGAAATTATTCAAAGGGTAGCCTTTTATATTTAGACACACTCTTCTAACACAGGGGTTCTTGAATCTGGTCCCTGGATCAACAGTAGCAGCAGCTCCTGGGAACTTTCGAGAAATGCACAGTCTTGGGCCCCACCCAGACCTACCGAACCAGAACCTCTGGGAGAGGGGCCCAGCAGTCTGTGTTTTCACGAACCTCCAGGTGATTCTGATTCATGCTGGACTTTGATAACCTCTGCTCTGGAGCTGCCTTTACGTTACATCCATTACAGTAGCCACAAGCCACCCATGGCAATGTAAGTTTAAATTAAGTAAAATTAAGGTTTAGTTCCTCGGTGGCACTACCACACTTCAAGTGCTCAATACCCACAAGTGGCTAGTGTCTGCAGGGCTGGGTGTTGCAGAGAGAACATTGCCACCATCACGGTTCTATTGACTGCTGTTCTAGACAGTTCTTCAGAATGGATGAACCACCCGCCCTCCCACGCCCTCATCCTTCTAATTAAGAAACATCAGGGGCGCCTGGGTGGCTCAGTCGGTTAAGCGTCCGACTTCGGCTCAGGTCATGATCTCGCGGTTTGTGAGTTCCAGCCCCGCGTCGGGCTCTGTGCTGACAGCTCAGAGGCTGCAGCCTGCTTCCAATTCTGTGTCTCCCTCTCTCTCTGACCCTCCTCCACTCACACTCTGTCTCTCTCTGTCTCAAAAATAAATAAAACATTAAAAAGAAACATCAGAAAGAACCTCCATGGGCTTAAGTGGGGCCCAGGGGTTTGGGGGCTCCTTGAAACAGATAATTTAGATCCTCATCATCATCTCAAGGCACAGGCATGGTTTCAGGTGTGGTGGGGAGGGGAGCACGCACTTGTCCTTATGGTCTGGTTCTCTCGTGAGCAGAATGAGATCATCCTCTTGCAATCCCAGCAGAAATCATCCCATGATGACAACTGCTCTGTCCTGAGACAGATGGAGGTAAGACCACGGTGGGGAGGGAGGGACGTGGGAGTCTCTGTTGTCTGCCTGTCTGTCATGCAGCCTGTCAGGCGGCCCTCAGGAGGAGTATGATATCTGCCCCATGAGACCGAACTGGCCTGGCTCATGTCTTGACATGTCCTGACCCTTTGTCATGGGCAGCCTCTGCTACAGATGTGCCTGTAGAATTTTGTCCCTTATAGGCCCTTTGTCTGCTTTAAAGACTCCCGGACTTCAGGGAGCATAGCCCAGGCACTTGTGCCTATAATTTCATCCCAGACTGGCAAATTCCAGACAGAGCTCTGCCTCAGTAACTTTTTTCTCTCTCCCCCTTGTCCTGGCTGTGGCCTGTTGTCAATAACAGTTATTATGAACATTTGTTGAGCATTTACTATGTACCAGGTACTGGGCTAAGTGCTTTTCGTGTATTATCTCATTTAATCCTCACAACAGCCCTGTGGGTTAGGTGCTGTGGTCTCTACATTTTACAGATGAGAAACTGAGACTCAGAGAGGTAAAGTCATTTGACTAATACCTTGGAGCTGGGATGCTGTATTTGAGCTTTGCATTGTATTTAGTTGCCAATCACCAGGAAGCAAAGCAGCAGTGGCCTAAGCAAGGTAGAAGTATTTATTTTGTTAAATACATTTGGAGATAGGTACTTCAGGTCATGATGTCATCAGTAACCCAGGCTCCTCCTGTTTGCCATCTTCAGCGTGTGGCTTATTTTCCCAGGGATGTCTCATGGTTGTATTGTGACTGCTGATGATCCAGACATCACTTATATGTTCCATTCAGGAAGAAAGTGGGGGAGGCAAAAATATCGTTCCCATTACCTTAAAAGTTATTTCTGTGAAGACTCAGCCAGTGACTTCTGCACTTACATCTTGCTGGCCATCTCTATTGCAAAGGAGGCTTGGAAATATAATTTTCAGCTGGGCACATTGCCGCCCCAAATACAATCAGGAGTTTGTTATTAAGGCATAAGGGGAGAATAGATAGCAAACACCTGACAAAGATATGAACCCAGAGAGTTTGCACAGCCCTGTTGTAATCCAACAGTCCCTGACCCAGGAACTGCAGTCCTGGATCATTTTCCTTTCCTTCTTTGTGGCGTATTTTCTTTGTTGGCATCCATCTGGTTAGACAGGGATGGCAGTGCCATTCTCCAATGGGCCACTGGGGGGCAGCAAAGCACAAGGCACCATCCTGCGGCTCTGGCTCCGAGAGGCCTGTCTCAGGAGCCCAGATATGGGGAATGACGCTTCAGGCAGGGTCCAAGTCCAAGGAGACCCTCCTCAAGCTGAGCACATGATTGGGGCCCCACGTCCCCAGTGGCTCACGGCCACCCAGTGTCGTCCAGATGCTTCCTTGGGGTTGGGACTGGTGAGGCTCTGCACCTCTGGGTTTTGAAGGCCTAAAGAGGGGCACCTTGGGGAGGCCGACCAGGCAGCCCCCAGCGTCTCCCCCACGTCTGAAGTCTTTTCATCCCGTCTTTGTTCCCTTGGCTGCAGCATGACTTCTGGGGGCCTCAGTTCAAAGCAAATACTCCAAGCAGGAGAATTTGTCTTAATAGCAATGGAATCACAAGGGCCTTTTTTTCCCTTACCCCCTGCTAAAGATCATTTCCCTCTGCTCTATTCCTGGAGACTTTCCTCACATCTTCCCTTTTATCCTCTCCTGCCCCTCTGAGAGAAGTGGGAGCACCTGCCCCTGAACGGGAGGGTTTTGCATGGGAGTTAAGCAACCAGGACCTGGGAACAAACGCTTGGGTATGACTCTCAGAAAAGTCACTTCCTAGCTGTGTGACTTTGAGAAACTGACTTAACCTCTCTGAGCCTCTGTTTTCTCACCTTTAATATGGAGATAATAATCATCTTCACTTCAGTGGACTGTGAAGTTTGAGGTAAGTCACACATGTGCACACTGAGCACATGGCAGAGCAGAGAATTCTGAGTGTAGCTATCATTGTTGTTCGTGATGTAAATCAGTAAAACCTCACAATCACCTCACCTTGGTACTAAATAATTGCTCAAGAAATGAACCCAAGGTCAGGTACGTAGACCACTCCATACAAGGAAGCTAAACACAAGTTCGCCTTTCTTCTCTGACCTCTGACCTTCTGTTTTCCTCACCTGAAATCTGTAGCAGTTGTGAGGCTGTGTTGAGATGATGTGTAAGGTGCTGGACACATGTTATCACAGCCACATCAGGCTTTTTGTTTGTTTGACCACGTGATCTCCTCACGTGCCTCTAGAATGAGAGGGCAGCTCTTGCTGTCATATGGGGAAACTCAGCCCTGGGAGCCAGGGCAGAGGAAGCTGCCCGGTGTGATGGTCGAGTGACAGTTCGGATCTTGGCTTCCCTCTCCTGGTTGTGTGCTTCAGAGCCTCAGTTTCCTCACCTGGAAAATGGGGGTATGGATAGGACGGACCCCTTGGGATTGTTATTTGGGACGAGGCAGGAGCCACAGGGGAATGGGCAGTCCTCACTGGGCCCAGTTCACCTTAGCAAGCTGAGAGCTCAGAGGGAGAGTCAGGAAGTGACTGGAAGCTCTCAACCCAAGAGCAGGGATTCTCAGCGCAGGGTTGCAAGTCAGATTCACCTCGGATGCCCAGGCCGCACGCCAGACCAAACCATCTGAACCTCTGAGGCTGGGGTCAGGGCAGCAGATGTTTTGAAGGTCCCAAGTGAAAGTAACGTGAGGCCAAGATTGCGACCCAATGGACTCGCAGGGGTTCTCAGACTTTACCGTGCATCAGAATCACCTGGAGGTTCATTAAAACACACATTGCCAGGCCCACCCGCAGAGCCTCTGATTCAGGGTCTGGACTGGAGCCCAAGAATTTGCACTTCTAGCAAGTTCCCTGATGAAGCTGATGCTCCTGGTCACCCAGGGACCCCACTTTGAGAACCACTGGACCAGAGCAATGTGTATTAACCAGTGAGTGGTAAAATCAGTTTGTTGGATTGAACCAGCCTTCAAAAATAATGAAACAGAACAATAGAAAATATGAGAACACACAATAAGAATATTGATCTGTGAAGCATTTATGTCATTTGATTAGATAATCTATTTAAACACACACCCATACCCATATGTATATTTACATTGTATACTATGAATTAGGCTTCATTGTAAAATGTACTCCTTTCTGTGGGCCACAGTTTTAAAAAACGAATCACCAGCTTTTAAAAAATGTTGTAATCCCATACACATGTAGACACATGTACATACATGTAGGTGAAACAAAACTTAGATTTAACAATATTTACCCTCATTACCTGCAGTGTATATTAGTATTTTCTTTTCCTTTCTTTTCTATTTACTTTCTTTAGAATGCTGATTAAGGCTTAGTACGTTGATTTTGTATCACCTCAGAGGTCTGAAAATCTGTAGTTCAGAGGCTCTGGTTCCAGAGGGTCCCAAACCCCCATCCTCACTGAAAGTCCTTATGGGTGGGCGGAGCCCAGGGTGCAGCCTGGCTGATCTTGGGTGGGAATTGGGGTCTGTCACCAGGAGAAACTGAAGAAGACCACGGAGGAGGCAGACATGTATGAGAACAGCTACAAGGAAATCAGCAAGACCTTGGAGCATCTCAAGAACTCAGTGGAGAGTCTGTTTAAAAAGATAAATTGTGATGCCACCAAGATCCTGGGGCACTTAGGGGAGACAGGGAAAATCAATGACACCAACCTTCCACAGTACTTTGGTGAGTCAAGGGAGTGGGGGGCTTGTTGGGCCTTTAAGAACTATTTCCGGAACTTTCTGTGAGCAGTCACGAGGACTTGTTCTTTGGGTGGCATTGAGCCCGGTGATGAAACGTGGGCTGTAACGCCAGCCTGCCTGGGCTCCAATCCTGGTTCTACTCTTACTAGCTCTGTCCCCCCCGCCCCCCAAAAAAATGAGGAGTAAACTAATATCTACCTCATAAGGTTGTTGGGAAGTTTAAATAAATTAATAGTTCTTAGAGTAAAGCTATATGATCATATTAATAGATGCAGAAAAAGCACTTGACAAATTCAACATCCATTCAGATAAAAACTCTTAGCGAGGGGCGCCTGGGTGGCGCAGTCGGTTAAGCGTCCGACTTCAGCCAGGTCACGATCTCGCGGTCCGTGAGTTCGAGCCCCGCGTCGGGCTCTGGGCTGATGGCTCAGAGCCTGGAGCCTGTTTCCGATTCTGTGTCTCCCTCTCTCTCTGCCCCTCCCCCGTTCATGCTCTGTCTCTCTCTGTCCCAAAAATAAACGTTGAAAAAAAAAATTAAAAAAAAAAAACTCTTAGCAAACTAGAGCTGGAAGGAAACTCTCTTAACTTTGAACGGTATCTACAAAACACAGCTAACCTCACGCTTAAGGGTAAAAAACTGAATGTTTTTCCTCTAAGATCAGGAACAAGGCAAGAATGTCTGCTCTCATTGTTCCTATTCAGTATCATCGTGGTGGTCCTAAACAATGCAGTAAGGCAAGAAAAAGAATTGAAAAGCATACGGATCGGAAAGGAAGAAATAAAGTGCTCAGAGCAGTGCTTGGCCTGTAGTAAATGCCTGTCAACTAGAACACACATTTCTAGCCATAGGCCCTTAGCTCAGGATAGAGAAGGAGGGAGGTACCTCCGGAGATCATCACAATTTGGAGCGAATGGCTTGCTTTTAGAATAATACCTAAGGTTCTTAATACGCTCCGTGCTTGGGGATTTCCCAATCACCCCCTCGTGCCAGGTTCAGTGATTTGCTAGGAGGGCTCACAGACTCAGCCTATAGTGGCACTCTGGGCTTTATTTGCTGTAGCAAAAGGATCAAAGCAAAATCAGCAAGAGGAAAACGGGCATGGGGTGAAGTCTGGAGGAAGCCAGGAGCAAGCTTCCAAGGGTTCCTCATCCAGAGGGGTCACACAGGATGCACTTAGTTCCCCCAGCATTGAGTTGTGATGACATAAGTGAAATGTTACCAACCAGGCGAGCTCATTAGAGAGGCTGTGCCCAGGGTTTTGAAAAAAATAAAGCAGTTACTTAGCATAAACATGTTTTATACATACAGGTTAGGGGCACTGAGCCTCTATTATCATTTAGTGAGGATGGGAACCTTCCTGAAATCCAAGTTCCCTGATGTCAGCCTCAGGCCAACCTGGCAAGCTGGTCTTTCCGGGGAGAGTAATCAGGACTCCTGTGTTAACTCTTTCCTGCCCACACCCTATTACGTCTACACAGCCTGGCCCCTACTCACATTTGTCATGTCCTCGTGTCCTGCTTTCTCACAAGTCACACTATTCTATGGATTCTTCCAACCCTCCCCTCAACACATTCCCACCTCAGGGCCTTTGCACAGGCTGAGTTCCTTCTCATTCTCAGATCTCAGTTTAAATGTCCTCTCCCTAGCCGGGCTTCCCTCCACTGCCTCATCTGAGGTTGGTGTCCCCTCCACACATGCTATTGTTCCCATTCATGGCAGTCCTTTTATGTAACATCCATCCAGTTTGTTTCCATGTACAAGTAGCTCTCACTCTGTGAATCTATGAAGTTTTCGAGATCTGATAGCAAGTGCCAGATGCAAATATTTTTGGTATCTGATTTTCAGAAAGAATGGCAACAGTACAGGTAGCACGAGGTTTATTTAAAACATTCTCCAGATCCAGGAGTTACTGAGTCTAGATAACGAGCATCTGGAAAGCAAGGGAAGCGTGTGCTTTTCTGTTTACCTGTCGAATTTGTCCTTTTGTCCGTCTTCCTCCTATACACTGAAGCTTATGAGCTTCCTCGGGCCGAGATTGCATCTTTGTTTTTACTGTTGTTGTTGTTGTTTTGTTTCTCCTCCTTGCATCGCAGCATCCAGCTGTGTGCCTGGCATGGTAGGCATCCAATACTCATTGGTAGAGTGGGTGGTTGAACACACAACTCCAGTGAATGCACAGGGCTCCGACACACAGCAGGATAGGGGAGCTCCCCCGGACTAGACAGGTCAGAAAAACATTCCTGCAGGTGGCAGAGGCCTGACCCAAGTCTCAAAATGCCAGTAGGGGTTATTCAGGGAGGGGTGTAGGGAAAGGCATTCTAGGCAGAAGGAACAGCATGAGCGCAGGTCTGGAAGCCTGGGACAGAGCGTGCAGGGGAAACATCAGTAGTTTAAGAGGCTGCCTGTGGCTCCCAATTGTTAGTGTAACCCACTGTTTCTCAACCGTCTTTTCATTATTGCCTCCTAAGGAGTCTTTTTAGACATTCTTTTCCTAATTGTCCTCCTCATAAAATTTTAACACTGTAGATATAAGCTATAGTTGTTTATGTTCTGTATGTATATGTTTTATGTTATAAAGTCAGATTTTTTTTTTTTTTTTTTTTTTTTTTTGCGTCTCAAAAACCAAATATTGCCCTCTTGCGGATAGTGCCCTCTGGAGAACGCACGGTGTAACCCAAGAGAAAGCCCTCATCCTTAGAGGATGTCCCCACTCTCTGTCCTTTCCCTTCTTCTCCAGCCTACAGGGGGGTGGGGGCACCACCCCCAATTCCTGGGAACCAGGTCTCTTGGCTGCCATCTTGGTTCTGATCGATTTTCTTCCAGCCATCATTGAGGAGAAGACCAATGACCTCCTGCTGCTGGAGTCCTACAAACGGATCCTGGATATGGAAGGGGCAGAGACCGAGATGCCACCGCCCTTCATCAACCCTTTCTGGGGCGGCTCTTCCCTCCTCAAGCCTACAGAACCCATCAAAGTCATCCCCCCGGTGCTTGGGGCTGACCCCTTCAGCGACAGGTTGGATGAAGGTGAGTTCTCTTTCTCCCCCAGTCTGCACAGGTTGCTAGGAGACCTGTGCCAGAGAGAGTCTGCAGTGCTGAGCCTCAGTTTCCCTTTGTGAGTCTCGTAGGCCCATCTGTTCCATTGGGTTCCATCATGGCTGTGGTCCCTTGACTTGTTTTGCCTGGTGATGCTTCCCTCTACAGTGCAATGACCTAGCCACAGATCCTGAAGTTTAGTGATCCTGGATAGTTTTTTCAATCGCTACTTTGTGACCATTGAAAATGAACCTTAAAATGCTTAAGTTTACAAATTGGCAAGTTGCAGACACACAAGATTCCCTAGGCCCATCTCTCACCCTAACCTTATGCCCCTGAGTCTGTCTCCACCCATGGCCGTTCTTGCCCTACCCCAACCGTGTCCTGCAAGCCAGATGCCTAACTGTGGCCCCTGTGGCCAGGTTGTCAATCTTCCCTCCTGACACTCCCTTCACCCGGGGAAGCAGCCCTTCTCTCTGGGGGCGGGGAGAAAATTGGCCCCGCCTGGGTTTTGGAGGGCAGTTGCCACATGTGTGGCAAGCCTGGGACACAGATACACCTGTGAAGCCCGTCATCTCGCCTGTGCAGATTGGTCCTCCAAGAAACATTTATTCAAGGTTCAAGGATGAAAGTAGGGCCATGTTCACTGCAGCCCCGAACTGGGCACTACTGAAACGCTCACCCATTGGAGACTTGTTACGTGAATTATGGGTCACCCACCTGTGCAACAGGCTTACTGTGCAGACACAGACAAGAGTGCAGTGGGTCACTATAAACTCTCCCTCTCTCTCTCTCGGTCTCTTTCTCTCTCTCTCTCTTTCACACACACACACATACACACACACTCTCAAACTTATAATTTATATATAAATTATATATGTGTAATTATATATGGATTATAGGATATAATCCTATATCCTATAGTATCCAGGGGACTTTGAGCCATATCTGGAGATATTTTTGGTTGTCACACCTGGGAGGTAAGGGGTACTGCTGCCATCTAGTGGCCAGGGAAGCTGCTAGAAATCCTACAAAGCACAAGACAGCCCTTGACAACCCCGATGTATAATAGGGAAAGAACTGTGTATAATGAGAGAGGAGGAGGAGGAGGGAGGGAGGTTGAGAGGGAAGCAAGGAAGACGGGGTCTTGATTACGCATACAAAAACAAAGGATCTATAGGCTGACTTGTGGTGGGTGTTTCTCGAGGTGGCGATTTACAGACGTTTTCCTTTCTAGGTTAAACAATTCTGTATTGTTTAAATTGTTCTTTTCCAATGGTCCTGAGCAACTTTAGGAATTAGAGAAAACTAGATTAAAAAAAAAGCTGCCACAGCTCTCTAAGCAGGGCTTCAAGCGTGCAGGTGTGTCAGAGATGGAGGGGGAGGAGTGAGGAAGGATCACCGACACACACACACACACACACACACACACACACACACACACACACACACACCCCTCCAGTTTGATTGAATTGGGGCAACTGAAACTTGGCAGGAGTGAAAGCTGGGTCTGGTGTTACTCACCTTTGCACACCTTCCCTTTGCCCTTTGATTCCTAAAAGAGGAGGGTGGCAGGGCACAGATGCTGGTAATGCTACCCTCACCCAGTCAGGAACTTGCAGATGATGCCTTCACTTCTGCTCAAGGGAATGTTGATTAACACTGGGTTCTCTTAGCTCATTAGTCTCTGTGGCTCATATGTATGAATTAGAAGAGGCCCTCTGGACAAGTTAATTAAGGTGCCCCTTCTGTATGGACATGATTTGGCAATCAAGTCGGGTGAGGGCTGGATTTCAGCCCATCCATTCACCTGTCTCCACTAGATATCTTTGTTCAGTCTACATCCTGAACAACAGCACATGGTGGCCCTGTCTCCTTGATATTAAACTAGACTCAACTTCACATACTTCTCTGGGAGAAAAAAACAGTTATCATCTGGGCATCCCTGTGCAGTACATCTCTGCCGATGCGCCTCCTCCCTGAACCTCGAGAATATTCAACTCCACCCCCAGCACTGTGGAGGGACCCCAAATCAGGCTTGGACAACCATGCCTTGGGCATCCATGAACGGGGCAGAGAGGCACTGTCCCTGGGAGGGAAGCTCCCCACCCCCACCCCTTGCTGGGTTTGGTTTCCGGACTCCTCACACGAGTCCTGTCTTTGATGCAGTGGACCAGCCCCTGGACCACAGCAGCCTTCGGCAGCTCGTGCTCAGCAACTACACTGCGCAAGAGTTTCGAAACAGGGACTTACACTGAGACAGCATCCTGGAAAGGGGGGATGATCTGAGGCCCAAGAAGTTATGGTCTGAGGTGGAGGGGGCTACATTTGTACCAGAGAGAATAAATGTTTTGTTCTTTAACCTCAGTGTCTCCCCACACTCATTACTAAGAGACTAGATTAGGGTCCTGGGAGCCACTGTGGGACACGGAGGCACGGGGACACAGGAGGCAAGAGTTATATGAGGTCACCACGGCTCCCGAGCGCCCCCTGAGATGGCGCTCCTTTATCTGAAATTAGAAATTAGCTTCTTACAGTTAACAGATGAGTTTTTGCTAAATTAGCCGTATTCTTAGCATGAACGTGAGGCCTCTTCCTCTTAATTTATCTTGGGGCCTGGGTGAGCACATCTATGGGAGAAACATTCCGATGTAATGTTTCCTAAAGGAAAGGATGTCATGAGAGCTAGGCTCTACCGATGCTTGAACTCTCTGCGAGAAAGGGCCGTGGTCCTCTAGTTACCATTCCAATAAATTGTGGCCCTTGACAGAAGTATTCCTAAGTGGCTGTGAAGGTCTGTTTCCAATAAAGAGTCACTAGGATTCAATAATAATGACAGCAGGGACATCACTCGCTCATACCCTGCCTTCATGGGAACTAGCAAAGGACCTTCCTCACTCAAGGCACGTCAGTCAGAGAAACACCACGAACACACACACAACCTCCTGTTTATTTGAACACAGCTTCTGGGTGGATTTCCATCTGTAGGACGTGTGGCTACGTGGCATCTTGCAACCACTGGGGCTGCAAAGACGATGGAGGTGGATGATGAAGCAGCCACACAGCTAACGGGCCAGGAGCAGGGACGGCGGCATTACTGGGCAAAGTGAGAGGAGGGCAGGGACCACCTCCCCACCAAAGACAAGCCCGGGGTTGGGTGATGAGCCCCTCTCAGTCCTTCTCTTCTCCGTGGGTGATGATGTGCACCAGGTTCTTATAGTCCAAATTGCCAGTCACATCAGGGGGGAAGGCAGCGAACATCTGGTCCATCTGCAAAGAACCAGCAACACATGCTGAGGGGGACAGGAGGGCAAGTGAGAGAGGAGGGTCCCAGGGCAGAGGCAGTAGGGGTGCGGTGGACATGGGGACACGACACTCGGGTCCCCCTCCGGGAAGGCCTTGTTGCTCAGCTGCCGTGGAGAGCTGCCAGCCCCGAGGTCACGGTCCACCTGGGGCAGCCCACGGCCCGACTGATCAATGTGAGGCCTAACGTGGGAACTCCTCCAAGGGTGTTCTAGTTCCAGGGCTCCCTGCGGGGCAGGGGGTGGGGAGCCGACACACTCTCAGGGCCTGAGTTGAAGTTCAGCATCTCCCTCCATGCCTCCCTGCTTCCTTGCCCTTCCTTGCTCTTTCTTCTGCAAGGCTGACCCCAAGGGCCATCCTATAGGGATGTTCCTGGGAATCCAGCCTGCCGCAGGTAAAGCAGGGATCGCAGACTCGGGTTGCAAAGGAGCTAGGCAGGCTCTGCAGGGGAGCAGGGGGGCTGGTGGGGACTGTGGGGAAACGCAGACACACAAGCTACCTCCAGAGGTGCCCATGGCTTAGAGCCGGCTGTGGGGGCAGGGGGGGCAGACTGAGGGAACTTAGTCTTTGAGGGAAACTAGAACTCTAGGCTTTTAATGTGCGATTTCCACATTTAGAAAGTATCAGCTAGTTATTTTTAAAAATACTACAAATATTTTTAGTACTAAAGATACTAATTTAGGCTAATAATAGCTAACGCTTTATATTGTGCTTTCCACATGCTTTAGCACTTCACATGTATCAACTTGTTTAATCCTGACAGCACACTATGAGGAAAGTTTTATTACTGCCCACTTTACAGATGAGGAGAGTGAGGCACAGTGAGGTCAAAGAGCTTGTCCAAACTCCCCAGGCTGGTGGGAGGTGAAGGCAGCCTCTTTTAATTTTTTTTTTTCAACGTTTATTTATTTTTGGGACAGAGAGAGAGCGAGAGCATGAATGGGGGAGGGGCAGAGAGAGAGGGAGACACAGAATCGGAAACAGGCTCCAGGCTCTGAGCCGTCAGCCCAGAGCCTGACGGGGGGGCTCGAACTCACGGACCGCGAGATCGTGACCTGGCTGAAGTCGGACGCTTAACCGACTGCGCCACCCAGGCGCCCCACAGCCTCTTTTAACTGCATGGGTTTTGGTGGGGGGAGTGGGGGGGGGGGAGAGAATCTAAATAAAAATTTTAGCGAAATGTGAAACCTGTTGAAATCAACCCTGAGAAGGGGCTATTTTAAATAGATTCAGGTTCATTAATAATATCAACAGGGCCATTGCTTATTGATACAGGACTTTTGATGAATTAGCAGCAAAAGTGCCCCTTCTTCAAGGCACATTACTGCCCCCTGCCAAAAAAAGTCATATATACTGTTTTCTTTAAAAAAGAATTATATCAAGACACTTTACTGCCATCTGCTGGACGACGGTTGCAATAAATATATACTTCACAATATATTTTATGAGTACGGCATCCAGGAGAATTGTGCAGTGCAGAACCTTCATGACAGTAGGTGGTACCCTGCAGGTCACCCTCACTCCATCAGGAAATTGGTGCTCTAACCAGCACCAGGTCTCTAACCAGGCCTCTCTAGACCTGGAGTCAGACAGACCTGGGTTGGAATCCAGGCCCCAGCATTTACCATTAGTGTTGTCCTTTTAGGCCCGTGACTAACTTCCCTGGGCCTCAGTTTCCCCATCTATAAAATGACAATAATGCTGGTAGTCCCTACCTCATAGTGTGATGGAGAGAACGAAATGAGATAGGGGTTCAGTAGCAGGTTCTCTCTCAGTGTGGGGCCAGGGGTGTTTTAGAAAAGAGGGTGACACGGGAGCTGGGGTGCAGTGTGTGTCCGAGGGGCTGTTACCTCCTCTTTGGAAAATCTCTCTGCCTGTGTGGTCAGCATCTCCCGAACGCTGCAAAAAGAGAACAGCGGGTGTTGGCACCAGGTGTGTGTGTGGGCGGCAGGGAACCCCCACGTCCTCCCCCACAGATCCCACTCACTAATCAGCCTTGAGCACCCCTTTGCCTTCGGGGTCAAACACTTTGAATGCGTTGAGAATGGTCTCCTCGGGGTCTGCCCCTGAAACGGAAAGCAGGGTTGCATCATGCTATGGGTGGCTGGAAAACCCACGGTACCCCAGGAGGCAGGGCCCAACTCCCCTTCAAAGGTGGAGGGGCCAGAGTGAGGCTGGTTTGCTTGGAGGAAAGGCCCTGCCTTCCTCTGAGCACTGAACCTTGGTAAGTAGAAAGAGTGGGCTGAGAATCCAGTCATTTCTGAGCAAACCCAAGGTCAAAAGTGGATGTAGAGTCAGAAAGACTGGGATTCGAATCCTGACTCCAGCATTTGCTAGCTGTGTGGCCACAAGCAAGTGGCTTTCCATCTCTGAGCCTTAGACAGGGGATAAAACAGAACCTACCTCCTAGATGGCAAATGAGGTCATGGATGCAAAGTGTGTAGCATGGGGTCTGGCTCAGGCTAAGCCTCAGAGCAATGTTAGCTGTCGCTTTTATCCTCCCCACCCCCAACGTTACTCTGCCTTCACCTTCTGCCAACACCCGTGTGCCCTCCTAGTGCTTTAATTCGTGCCAAAGATGAAGACACGTAAAGATACGCACACACAGGTGCACAAATGCAGATGCACATACACCCAGACAGACAGACACACACATGAGCTTACCCTTAAGTTTCTCCCCAAACATCGTTAGGAACACAGTAAAGTTAATTGGACCTGGAGCTTCCTTGAGCATTTCATCAATTTCTTCATTCTTCACGTTCACACGCCCTAGGGCAGGAGATAGATACACACTCAGAGCCCCCCGCGCTAGGGCAGAAACAGCTGTCAGGACTCTGGCATTTGCCCGCCTGATGCCGCTTCATGGAATCTAGTCTAAGGGACAAGCAGAGATGGAGTGGGCGGGGCCAAAGAGTCCCATGAGAAGATGTTCTCCACAGTGTTATTTATAATAGCCAGACAGCTGGACACAGCCCAAACATCCATTGTGGGGAGGGGTTAGCTATTTTTTATAATAGTGTCTTCAGAACCTCAAACATTTTAAACAGATATTTTAACTTTTTACCGAAATGGGAAATGTTCCTATTACAAATGATCCCTTCTCAGTGGGAGGTGGCACACAGATCAGAATCACCTTGAAGGGAACTTTTTCCTTGAAGGGCTGCAACCCACACAACCTTGGAGATTCTCATAGAGCCTGTGCTAGCCTCTGCCACGAGACCAAATAGCACCTTTGTGCACATTTTTAAAAGTCACCCCTTCTTAAGATAGTTTATGTTTTAAATATAAAAATGTACAGTGGCCACAAACATGAATAGTAATCTGTCGAACTGTGTAGTGCGCAACCTGCTCAGCTGTTCACGGTGGCCCTGAGTTCTGGGAGTAGGAGTGGAGGGGGGTGAGTGGTGGCAGGGTGGACGTGTGTATTTTGAAAAATCTCCATACACTCATGCTTACACTACTGAGATGTTAAATTTAAAAAGCTGGCTCCCAAATAGAATAATTCCAACCTCAAAACAACAACAACAACAAAAATTCCACAAAAAAACCAAATGTACCTAGAAAAGACTGAGAGGCGGAAATGTTACAGTGGAATGCGACCTAATGGCTAATGTTTTTTGTTTTATACTTTTCTGAGTTTCTCAAATTTTCTATTGTGAGCTGGCATTGCATTCAAAATCACAGAAAAAACAAGTCAGTTTAAAAGAGAAATGAAAGATATGTGAAGACACTCAGAGCCTAAACACTTCTTTGCTTTTCCTCTGAAGTTTGTCTTAAAGGCCAACCATGATTGAGCTCTTTCTCTGAAAAATGATAAGCTCTTGACCTTTTCAGTGGCCCCACTTTCCACTCCTCAGGAGGGTAGGGTAAGGAGACCCTCCTGCAGGCCTAGAGGGGGGACATACCGAGAGCAGCAAACGTGTCCCTCAAATCATTCTTGTCGATGAAGCCATCCCTGTTCTGGTCCATGATGGTGAAGGCCTGTGGAAGGGGGCAGTTGGCTGGTCAGCCCAGGAGAAGTTGAGGGGACGAGACCAAGAGATCAGGCTGTAGACTGGGGGAAATGGGGTTCTGGGATTCAGGAGCACCGAAGGACATTAGATCAAGGGTCAAAGGCTGGAAACTGGCCGTGCCTCAAAATGTTAGGCGTAGCGTTACCATATGATGCAGCAGTCGTACCGCTGGGCATCTGCCCAAGAGAACTGAAAAATCTGTCCACGTGGAAACCTGTGCCTGAATGTCCACAGCAGCATTATTTACAATGGCCCAAACCTGGAAACAGCCCACACGTCCATCAACTGGTGGATGGTTACACAGAATGTGTTCTAGCCATGTGATGGATTACAACTCAGCAATAAAAAGGAAGGAGATCCTGACGCCAGCTACAGCCCAGATGAGCCCTGACACATGACGCTGTATGAAACAAGGGGCAAAAGGCCACATACTGTACGATGTGCTTCTACAAAATGCCCAGAACAGGCAAATTTGTAGGAGCTGAGAATAGATCAGCGGTGGCCAGAGGTGGGGGGGGGGGGGGCGGTGGCAGAAGGGAACAGGTAGTGACTGCTGGTTGGTGTGAGGTTTCTTTATGGGGTGATAGAAATGTTGGGAAGTTAGTGGTGATGCCTGCATAGTTCTGTGACTATAGCAAATAACCACTGAATTGTACACGTAGTTTTAAAAAGGTGAATTGAAGGTGTGTGAGTTATATCTCTATGAAGTCGTTCTTTAAAAAATCAAGTTGGGGCGCCTGGGTGGCTTAGTCGGGTAAGCATTCAACTCTTGATGTCCACTCAGGTCAAGATCTCATGGTTCTTGAGTTCAAGCCCCA